GCATTCATGAGCTCATACAACGTGGTTATATTTTTCACACAAGGTCGGTTTGATGGTTTGAGGTCAGCTGATTTTATATATGATCTGGTGAGAAAGTTTTTGGAGTATTCAGATACGGAAAAACCTTTTATCACCCTGATCACGCGAATGGACAAGAAGAATATGAAATTCACCACACAGATCGCGAGAAGAATCATCATGAGCAGAAAAAGTAAAATCATGTTTGTGATAGCTGCACTTCAGAGTGTTTACAATAAAGATATCAACATGATCAAAGGTAATCTGATCAATGATCGTAAGATTAGTTTAGGCAATAAGATTAAATTAATGGGAAGAATTCAAGATGCTGCAAATATAAAGTTTATTGAATAAAATATCATTTTTTCTTTAAGAATATGTTTGTACGATCGCTATAGTTTCCACTAAAAAATAAACTCATTGTTGATATTTGCATGTTATTATTTGTATCATTTTTCTTTTTTCGTTTGCTTGATTCTGCCAGAGTATCATTTGTGTTATCATTTTTTAATCTTCGTTTCTTGACGGTAGAATCGGTAACAGAATTGTAGCAATCGATGAGGAAATCTGATGCTTCTTTCTCATCGATGTTCAGGCAAGATTCGATGAAAGAGCTGAACTTGTTGATGTAGTAGAAGGTGTCGATCATGTCTTTTTCAGGATTGTATTCTGCAGATAGGATCATTCTCTCACCAACAGATTTTACACCTGGCATGTGTCTGACCACCACATTCACTCGGCCATTTGGAATCTCTTTTTTCTCACGTTGCAAGCGATCTACCATAGTTCGCACGCTGATATTTCCTTTACGTTCTGCGTTACCCTTATATTTTAATCTGGTGTTCTTGAACATGATATCACCATCAACAATCTCAAATGAGGTTTTCTCGTTCCAATTTATCTCATCGGGGAAGTGGTGTCTCACGCCTCTCTCCTTGTCTACGTAAAGCACAAGCTTTCCTTTCACAACATTGTACTTGTCATTCTTGAACAGTTTGTGTTTTATTTTTTCAATTATGGTAGAGGTTGTGACCTCACGTGCATTCACACGCATGCTATCCTCAACAATGTAAAGTTCATCTGGT